TCTTCTTAAATTTATTGAGGCTTGCTTTGTTTCCCAACATATGGTCTATCCTTGAGAATGTTCCATGCTCGCTTGGGAAGAACGTGTAGTCAGCTGTCTTTGGATGGAGTTCACTTAGCATGTTTTTAAGGTTCATCCACATTGTAGTATGTATTAGAATTTCATTCCTTTTTAACGCTGAATAATATTCCATTATGCATATACCATATTTTGTTTATCCATTCATCTTTTTTTTTTTTGTGAGGAAGATGAGCCCTGTGCTAACATCTACCAATCCTCCTCTTTTTTTTCCTCAGGAAGACTGGCCCTGGGCCAACATCCATGCCCATCTTCCTCCACTTTATATGGGACACCACCGCAGCATGGCTTGCCACGCGGTGCGTCGGTGCGCGCCCACAATCTGAACCGGCGAACCCCAGGCCGCCGCAGTGGAGCGCGCACACTTAACCACTTGTGCCACCAGGCCGGCCCCCTATCCATTCATCTTTTGATATATATTAAGGTTGTTTCTACCCTTTGGCTTTTTTGAATAATGCTATAATAACATTGATATACAAGTATCTGCTTTCAATTCTTTTGGGGTTATACCTAGAAGTGGAATTGCTGGATCATATGGTAATTCTATGTTTAAATTTTTGGGGGAACTGTCAAGCTGTTTTGGACAACAGCTGCACAATTTTACATTCCCACTAGCAATGCACAAGAGTTCTCATTTCTCCACATCCTCAGCAATACTTGTTATTTTACATTTTTTAATAATAGCCATCTTAATTGGCATGAAGAGGTAAGTCACTGTGGTTTCTTACCACTTTTAAGTTGACTTTTCTTTGATTTGGCATTTGCTTGGTTGTTGTAAACCTTTGACTGCTTTCCAGAGTTTTGACAGTTGTTTCTGACCATCTCTCTTTGTTTTTCTGTTTCTGCAGGGTGGTAGGAGCTTGGCATTGCTTGCTCTATCATTTTCGATACGATCTATCTTGATATATGTTCCATGGGCACTTGAAAAGAATGTGTATTCTGCTGTTATTGGGTGGAGTGTTCTATAAATGTCAATTAAATCCTCTTGGTTGACATGGTATTGAGTTCTTCTTCATCTTTCCTGATTTTCTGTCTAGTTGTTCTATCACACCCATAATAGGAACAGATAAAACTAACTTCTTTCTCCGAATGAGGGTCAGAGACGTTAAGGTAGCTTAGGGAAGGATGTAAGCAGGGATTTCCATGAATTTCCAAGAGTCTGACGTCTTTCAGTTATAGGTCTGCCTCTGCTGCTTCATTTCCCATCATTCCCTCAAATGCCCTACAGACATAGAAAACTATGTATAATTCCCCAAGACCCTGTGTTCTTTTACTCCTCTGTGGCTTTGTACATACAATTGCTTTTCCTGAAATCTTCTTCCCCTTGAGTACCTTTAAAGATTCAGCTCAAATATTACTTCCCTTGTGAAGCTTTTGCTGACCACCTAAAGCACCTTGAATATATCTTTCTTTGGAGGCTAATTTACCATGAAGCTAATCATAAATCTTCAGAGCCCCTAGCTTGGACAGACCCTTTCTAAGGTCTTGGGAGGGGCCCTAACATTATTTTTACCAGGCTATATGTTTTTTCTAATTTGCAAAGTAAGATATTCAACCACATTTGGTTAAGACTGTTTTTTCCAGTCTGACTTTTCCTCCTTCAGACTTCCCCCTTGTGTTGGGTGGCACTGGAGTGGCTAAGAGGAAGTTGAGTTGTGAAGAGAGTTAGTTTGCGTTTATGCGGTTTGCAGTAACTTAACGTGTGTAGCTGATTTATTGCTATGGTGTAGTAATGGCTTCAGGAATGCTCCCATAAACGTCCTGACTCACCCAGAATCTTTACACGAAAAAGACAGAGCCAGTAGTACCGTGATGTGAATGTATCCGATAGTACATGGTCTTAGACATTTTGGGTAGAAGAGGAGAAACAAAATTTGAAATGAACAAAGTCCAAAGTTAGTCTGTGGGAAATTCTTCTAATCATCACATTAAGATTTTAAGTGGAGGATCTGTTTTTTAACAATACGTAGTCAAAATGAAAGTTTTCTCCTTTCAAAAATATAGTCAATAGCATATACAAGTATAAATGAACAATGATATTTTTTGTTTTTTTATGGGAATTGTGCAAAATAGAATTTATCATAATTCCTGTTTTTGAAGGACCCAAACTTCCTAGAAGTATTATAAACAGTGAATAAGGCTGTGTGTACAGTCACATGTTTTATGCATCCCATCTGCTATGGACTGAATTGTGCCTCCCCCCACCCGCCGCCCCCAATGCATATGCTGAACCCCTAACCCCCAATGTCGCTGTATTTGGGTTAAATGAGGTCATTAGGGTGGGGCTCTAATCTGATTGGATTGGTAGCCTTATAAGAAGCAGAAGAGAGATCTCTCTCTCTCTCTACCCCCACGTGACCTCAGAAGAAAGGCCATGAAAGGCTCTCACCAGAAACCCAACCCTCCTGGACCTTAACCTGAGACTTCCAGCTTCCAGAACCGTGGGAAATAAATTTCTGTTGTTTAAGCCACCCATTCTGCGGTATTTTGTGTTTTTTTTTTTTTTTTTGGTGAGGAGGACTAGCCCTGAGCTAACATCCAATGCCAATCTTCCACTTTTTTTTCTTGAGGAAGACTGGCCCTGGGCTAACATCCATGCCCATCTTCCTCTACTTTATATGGGACACCGCCACAGCATGGCTTAACAAGCGGTGCATCCATGCGCGCCCGGGAACCGAACCTCCGATCTCCAGGATGCCGCAGCAGAGCGTGTGCACTTAACCGCTGTGCCACTGGGCCAGCCCCTGCAGTATTTTGTTATAATAGCCTGAGCATATTAATACACCATCTATCAATAATAAAGAACAAATTTTGATCAAATATGCTAGAAGAAATGATGGAATTATCTTTCTATTTTTTTTCTATTTTAAATGACATTACAGAAGCATATGCAGTCAAAACTGTAGGAAAAAGTAATATAGATGTATCACACATTTAATTAATAAAACATGTTAGAATGGTTTTGGATTTTGTGATGTTTGTAGTATCTTTCAGCTTTTTAAAATTTGTAAATTGCTGTGGTTTCTTTTATCATTGTAAATATTCACTTGTACCTGATTTTATATTTATAATTTTATGTTCTTTTTCTTAAACAGCCCTGCCCCCCTCCCCCCTCAAATATCTTGTATAAGCTTCAGGCCTACAAAACCTGGATCCGCCATTGACCTCTATAATAGGATTTAAACCAATGTTTCCATGTCTGTGGCCCCCTTTAGACTGTGAATCTGTCCAGAGCAGGAACTGGGTCTTTACCTTTGCTTTTCCAGCTGCTGGAAGAATGCTGACACCTAGTATTCATTTAATAAATGATTGTTGGTTGAACTAAAGAACCAACAAATGAGCAGAAAGAGTAGAGGATGTATGTTAATTAGTTGAGGAAGTGAGTAGTCTGGAAGATTAGCTTGGAGGATCTGAGAGAATGAACATGGAGGCAACAGGGAAGTAGTCAAAGTGACCAAAGAATGCTAGCTCCTTTTTAAAAATAATGATTAACCTTCCAGTCTAAGGTCACTCCAGGAATAGAAAACCGCTGCCTATTGATACAATGAGTCTGAAAAGAAACCAATTCTCTAGTTTCAAAATGGGGGTAACAGGGATCTACTTTCTTGCCCAAGTATCTTTGCGGATCTTCCCTTACTCCCCTCTACTACGCACTCGCCAGCTGTGTGACCTTGGGCCAACCAGCTAACCTCTTTGAAACACAGTTTTCTCTTTTATAAATGTAGGTAAACACCTCACAAGGTTGTTGTGAGGATTAAATGAAGTTAGGCCTGTGAAAGCATCTAGCACAGTACCTGGCATATAACAGGTGCTCAATAAGTGTGAGTTTCCTTTCTTTTTTGCTTCTTTTCAGTGAGGTCTGCCAATTCTCTTTAAAGAAGCAGACTCTCTTCACCTTCCAGGGCCCTTGTCCTTCTGGTGTACTCCTCTAAGAAGAAACTGTTTTCTTTGTCATCTTGGAAGAAACTCTATCTCCTTACAGGGATACTCTTCCTCCCTTGGAATTTCTTCCTGGTTATAAAAACAGTTCTAAAGTTTACAAGGCCAATGTGTGATCTAGCAGGAAATGTAGACATTTTTCACGTTAATAGTAAAAGGACAAGGAGTCAGTTCCAACTTATACACACATTTTGTTACCTTGGCATGTGCTTAGAGCAGAAGCAGGAAAGTGGCAATATGCTGAAGGTCTCTACAAGGCAGTTTTAACGAATTCCTCAGACTTTATTGAACGATGCAATGTGAAGAGTTACCAGGCATAAAGTGTCTGGTAAATTCCCAGTGCCTGGTTCCACCCCCTATGAGGTTCCTAGTGGGGCCAGGCAGAGATGCTAGCTCCATATCACGGCCAGCAAGCCTCATTTCAGGTCTACTTCCTGGAGGTGCACACTAGTGAGAAGTCACTGTGGGATGTTATCCCAGAAAGGGGGAGTTGCTGGCCGCAAAGGTCAGGAGAATGCACGATGCAGCCAAATGCTTTTGCGTCCATTAAGTCAGCACAGCTGCCGCAGGGGCTGCCAATTCTATTCAGAAGCGGGAAAAATTCAGGTTGGAAAATTGCTTCATGTGGTGTGTGTGTGTGTGGATTGGAGGAAAAGATTAGACTGGGCAATAGGGCCTCATGTAGTGACCAGTTAGGAACTGAAGGTGAAAGCAAGTGAGAGGAGGTGCTGCTCCTTGTCCCAGGCCTCTCCTGCTGCCACAGCACCCCTTTCTCCAGGGGCAAAGGCGAGGCCTTGGAGGCTCTTTATTTCTGTTTCCTCCATTTCACCAACAGTTGGCAGCTCCATCAGCTGCAGGAATTAGCTCCTAAAATTTGTTGTGAACATTTTAAGGAAATAGTCTTGGTTTATAAAAACCAAGAAAAACTGCATACAAATAGAATGAAATTTCCAGAAATTGACTTTTTCCCTCTTTTTAGATGTAAATTATGTGCATCTATTTTTATCTTTTGTTCTTTCCCCTCATTTTAGAGAAAGGGTTATTTTGTATCCTGTCTAGGAGTAAACCCCTAACTTGGGGTCCAGATTTTACCTCCTCTGGAACCTTGAACTCTTGATTATTTTTTTTCCTCTCACTCACCTTAAATGTCTCTCACTTCATTACATACTTCTACTCAGTTAACAGATCTGCACAGGTCATTTTCCTTCAACAAACACCTTCTCTTGAACCTGTTACCCCTTGGAATGCTATCTAGGAAAATAAAAGCAAAAGCTTCTTTGCTGTTCCCCCTTAAAGTGTCATCTCTCCATTTCCTACTTCTTTCTTTCCAGCAACATTAGAACTAAAAATTGGGTTGTGAATAGCTTTGCAGGGAAGCCTTCCCTCTCTCCATCAGGAACTATTAGTCACACTTTCACTGAGTTCCCAAATCACCGTGTTCGTACTGCTATTACTGCACTTAGCAACTAGAACTGTAATTTATCTGTTTACACTGTATTGTTATTTACCTCTTTGTATTTGTGTCACTTCTGCTAAACCATGAATCCCTAAAAGGAAGTGAAGTGACCTTTATCTTGGTGTCTCCAGAAAAGAATGTTTCATAATCGGTGCCCCATAAATGTTGAGTGGGAGAGAAGAGGGCTAACAGCTATTGAACCATGACCATGTGCCAGTTTTTCTGTGAAATAGGTATCATTCTGCTTACAGAGTTCAAGGAGCTTGCCTAAAGTCATATAACTACTACTTAATATCAGAGCTATAATTCAAATTCTAATCTGTCTCTGGTCCTACCAATTCTCTTGTGCCTTCATCCCACTATCTGCTTTCTGACCTCACAGAGACACCCTGGTGCCCTGATCCCTATTTTCTCCTGGCTTGTCTGCCCCCTTTTGGCCTCACATCCATCCTAGACCACATGATTATACATGTGAACCCTCTTTCACCATCACCTTCAACCTCTGTCTTTTTGCCCCATCTGCCTGGAATAACTGCCACTCCAGATCAACTCCCACAGTTTTCCTTCTCTGTTCTGTCACCATTGAAGAAAACTGCACCACTGGACAGACTGTTACCACCAATTCACCGTTTCTAACTTCAGATGCACTTTCCAGGCTTCTTCATTATCCTTTCACTTGTCTCTGGTCAGCTCCTTCTCCCATTCTCCTTAATTACTGTTCCAATATTTACCACTTTCCCCAACCCCACTATTGATATCTCATTCCCTAACTCTTGGACATTTAGGACAATTCCATGTTTTTGCTATCATAAAAAAAGCTAAAGGGAGCATCCTTATACATATTCCTTTTTTCACTTGAAATTTTTTCTTAAACAGCAAGCTTCTTGAAAGAGTTAGCCTTACCTGTTGCTGTCATTTTCTTGATCTTCTATTCACCACTCAGCCTACTATTGACTGGCCTCTGCCCCTTACACTGTATTGACATTCCTCTCATTAAGGTCACCGATAGCCTCTATTTTGCCAAATCTAATTCTCACTTCTAAGTCCTTAGCTTATTGGACCTCTCAAGCTGCATCTGACATATCTCAGAATTCTCTCCATCTTTTTTAAACTTTAGCTTCTAGTTTCTGTGACTCTACTCTGGTTTTCTTCCTACAAGTATCAGCTAATACTTACTGTGTGTTTATCAGGCACTATTCCAAGGGCTTTACATGTATTACATGTACATTTAATCCTCAAATAATCGAGGCTTAGAGAGAAGTAACTTGGAGAAAGTCACACAGTTGGTAAGTGGCAGAACCTGGAGGATATAAAATCACACAGACTGGGTTTGGAGTCCATGATTTTAAACACTGTGCTATACTGCGTATCCTTAACATACTTTTTCAGTCTCCTTTGTGAGCTCATTTTTGCTGGTCCCTTAAACAGTGAACTTCTCCAACATTCCCTTTTTGGCCTTATGGTCTCCTTCTTACACACTCTCCATGGGTAACCTCATTTACTCTCATGGTTTTAACCACATGCTCTTAATACTCAGATCTATGTCCAGTCATGACTTATCCCCTGAACTCAGGCTCTAATATCCAGCTGCATCTTGGTCGGATCCACTTGGGTGTTCCATTGGCACCTAGTATTCAATGTAAAAAATGGTTCACTTGTAGTGCTCCCTCCTTCTGTATTCGTCATAGAGTAACATCATCCAGTCATCCAAACCAGAAAACATGGTGACATCCTAGATTTCTCCTTCTTCTTTACCCTCAGAATCCAATTAACCACCAAGTCATGCTAATTCTGTCTCCCCCAAATTTCTTAAATCTTTCCCTTGTGTCCATCCCTACTTCAAACTCTCTTCATCACCTGCCTGATGTATTGCAACAATCTCCAGCCTGGCCTCTCTTAAATCTGTCCTGAGTCATCTCATCAAAACACAGGTCTGACCATTCACTGCCCTTCCATGACTCAGTACTGCCAACAGGTACATTCTCAGTTCTTTAGCATGACACTTACAACTTTCTATAGTTAAAAGCATGGGCCCTGGAGTTAAATTGCCTGGTTTGAATCTCAGCTCTAACAATGTACAATTTTTGGCAATGTACCTAATCTCCTTCTGTCTCAGTTTCCATATTTGTGTTATAATTGTGAGAATTATATGAGATATCCATGTAAGGCACTTAGAACACCACCTGAAGTATAAGTGTGCAATAATTGTTAGCTAATGTCAATATTACGTATCTAGTCTCATCTCCTCCCATTCCCTGCCTTCAAGTTTATGTTCTAGCAATATTGTATCGTTTATAATTCCCTAAAGGTGTCATGCTGTTTCATGGCTGTGTGCCTTTCTATTGCTGTTTCCTTAACCTCCTGTGCTTTCATACACTTATATGCCTGGCTAATCTCAGCTCAGTCCTTAGCTCAGACTTCACCTTCAGGATACCTTCAATAACCCCCACGCCCCTGCCCCAGTCAGACTAATTGGCTCTCTTCTGTAACTTTATAGATTCTGTGTATGCCTTTAACTTAGCACTTAACACAGCCAATTGAAGTTATCTGTTTATATCTGTCTCCCCTGCTGGGCTGTAAGCTCTCTGAGAAAAGGGACATGTCTTTTACTTTTGTGTACCCTCAGCACTTAGCATTGTGCCCAGAATAGAGCAGATGCTTAATAAATCGTTGTTGAACTGAATTGCTTCCCCGTTCACTGAATAACTAGTTAGGTATCCATATTTGTGGCTCACTTGATGAGGAAAAGAATGTCTCTCTTTCTCTTTTATCAAGCTGGTCTTTCCCATTTCAATAAATCCCACCACTGTCCACCTAAATGTTCGAGTCAGAAACCTTGATTCTTCCATTTCCCTCACCTTCTACATCTAATTCATTAGCATATTATGTCAATTCTATTTCCAAAATATATCATTCCTTCTATCTCTACTGCCACCACCATCATCTCTCAAGGGGCATCGGCCTTCTAACTGGTCTCTATACTTCCATTCTGGCTACCCAGCCCCCACTCCACACAACAGCCAGGGTAGTTTCAAAACGTATATCAAATCAGTACCTCTCCTGGTTAAAAGCCTTCAGTGGCTTTCCACTCTATTAAGAATGAGATTGAACTCCTTGCCACAGCCTACAGGACCCTGCGGCATCTGGTCCCTGACTATTCCATCTCATTCCCCCTGCCCCTTAATCACTAGTACTAGTCACAGTTGCGTCCCTTCAATACCCAGAACACACAAAGCTCTTTCTCGCCTCAGGGTCTTTGCACATTGTTGCCTACTCTGCCTGGAACACCTGCCCTCTAGTTGTTTTTTTTTAACCTGGCTGGCTTTTTGTCACCCTTCAAGTTCTAGCCTTAAATCTCACATCTTCAGAGGGGCCTTTCCTAGTGACCCTATCTAAATCCCTTTGTGAGTCTCTACCACTACAATCTGTGTGCTTCCATCACGGCACTTATCCCAGTTTATAATTATTTTCACTAATTTTTACTTGTTCTGTAGTCTGTCTTCCTCACTGGATTGCACATTCCATGATGCAGGGACCACAACTACACTGTTCATTATTGTAGCCCCAGCACTTGGCACAGTGTCTGGCACATTGTTAGCATTCAATATATATTTCTTGAATGACTAAATGACTTGATTAAGTCACTCATTCAATCAATAAACCAGGGGGGCTATATGAACTTTCTTTTTGGTCTCTAAGGTAAAAAAAGCTTTACAACTTCAGCTAGCAGTTTAATTGGTGAGATGAATCATCTTGCTCAGCCCAGTTGAGAAGTATTGTAGGAGACCTTAATCAAGCAAGAAAAGGATATACTTTTAAAAAGTCTAGTTCTTAGGCCCTTTATGCTTGTGAGTGACTCAGGAGTGACAACAGTAATTATTACAAACCAGTGGTTCTCAACGGGGGGCAATTTTTCCTCCTCCCAGGGGACATTTGGCAATGTCTGGGTACATTCTTGGTTGTCAAAACTGGAGGAGGCTCAGGGAGTATACTACTGGCATCTAGTGAGGCAGGGATGCTGCTCAGCATCCTGTGACACACAGCATAGTCCTCCCACAACAAAGAATTATATGACCGGAAAAGTCAATAGTGCCAAGGCTGAAAAACTAAAAGAGAAACAGGAAAACAGGACTACCATCTACTTTGTAAAACATAATAGAACAGCAAAATATAGGTGTTAGTGTTCTAGAGGATTTGTAAAACTCAATAATTGAAGCATTAATAAGCTCTCGTGTTTCCTAAGATTTATTTCTGCTCTTTAGAGCAGGTTTCTGTTTGTTTTAAACAAAGAGTCCGTTGATGGGCTTATGAAATTGCTGAATGCTCTGAAATTGTATCCAAAATTGTGTAATTGTAAGCATTTATCTGGGAGTACGGGCCATCAGATTCTCAAAGGGGTACATGACCACCCAAAAGATTAAAAAGCCACCAGTATGAAGAGACCTTTGTGTTGTCTGCTGTACTTTAAAAAGTAGTGTTTTGTGGAATGCATGTTCTGCAAAATGCTTAGAAATATGTGTTCTGGATGGGTGTCCTTTAGAGCTGCCTTGGAAGGTAGGTAAGTGTGGTGGAAGGTCAGCTCGGTTTCTTCCTAGTTGTGGGGACGATACAGGTTTCACTGGGTTGTTAGGAGACCATGTAAGGTAATTTGTTTAAGCCCTACTGAAGCGTTAGACACACAGCAGGTGCTAAACAAATGTTAGTTTTCTTTTTTTTCACAGGACTGTGAGGATTGAATAAAATGCTTTGAGAACTAAATGAAATATGCATGTGGCACGTTGTCTGGCCAGCAGTAGATGTTAAATAAATGTTTATTTTTCTCACATATATTCTTTTTTCTTTTGTGAGGAAGATCAGCCTTGTGCTAACATCTGCCAATCCTCCTCCTTTTTGTTTTTTTTTGCTGAGGAAGACTGGCCCTGGGCTAGCATCCATGCCCATCTTCCTCCACTTTATACGGGACGCCACCACAGCATGGCTTGCCAAGTAGTGCGTCGGTGTGCGCCCGGGATACGAACCGGCAAACCCCCGGCCACTGCAATGGAGTGCGTGCACCCAACCGCTTGTGCCACCAGGCCGGCACCCATATATTCTTTATACTAAAACCCTGGGTCTTATCACTGAAAGCAGGGAAAAGAGGATAAGCCCAGAAATCTGAAAAATTTGAGGTTCAATCTTGGCTCTCTTATTTTACCAGCTGATCCTGGCCAAGTTACTTTCTTTCTTTCTTTTTTTTTTTTGTGAGGAAGATCAGCCCTGAGCTAACATCCGTGCTAATCCTCCACTTTTTGCTGAGGAAGACCGGCTCTGAACTAACATCTATTGCCAATCTGGCTCATTTTTTTCCCAAAGCTCCAGTAGATAGTTGTATGTCATAGTTGCACATCCCTCTAGTTGCTGTATGTGGGATGTGGCCTCAGCATGGCCAGAGAAGCGGTGCATTGGTGTGCACGTGGGATCCGAACCCGGGCCGCCAGTAGCAGAGTGCATGCACTTAACCGCTAAGCCATGGGGCCGGCCCGCCAAGTTACTTTCTGAGTCTTACATTTCTCATAGGTAAATTGGGGATAACGCCTACCTCCCAGGGTTGCTAAGAGACATAAATGAGAGAATATATATAAAGGACCTAGTATATGGATATACTTACATGGGACATAATTGGTACTTAATGAATGTTAAGTTCTTTTCTCATTTAAACAGTTCCTAAATCCTACCTCTATGAAGCCTTTCTGCAATAGGAGGATAGCTTGCTGAATGCCTGGTACTATGACCTTATCTAAAGATAAAACTCAAATATAAAATTTCTAGTATTTGTCTTCACTCATATTCACATTTATTCATATAAGATGATAGTATTTAATTTGGAGATGTTTTCAGTATTTTGTTCCATGAGCTCTCAGTGTCAGCAAGGGTTGTTAAGCTAAATCCACATAGTATCCAATAAAGCAGCACCATGTTCAGTATTTTTTATTTATTAGGCACTTACTGGGTATCAAATTCTCAGTAATGAGGGACTAAGAAGAAACAGGTCCCTGGCTGTGAGGAGTTTTACCAATATTTCCAACATTATCAATAATAATATCTAAAATTTAATTTATATTTATATTATCTATACATTATATATTAGTAATATATTTATATGTATTATTTATATATGCAAGCCATATATAAAATGTTCTAAGCATTTTACCTAGACCAATATATTTAATTCTCAGAATAATCCCCATTTTTGGCACAGACTGGTTAAATAATTTGTCCAACTTGTCTAGTATATATTGTTACTATGATCTCCTCTTGGCGCTGGTCAATGAAAGTAAGTCTGTCTGACAAATATATTTATTTGATTTTTACATTTTAATTTCAATAATTTATTTAGATTTTTAAAGAAGTCATTCATACACGGCAAAAACTTCAAAAGGTACCAAAAGGTATACAATGAAAAATAAGTCCTGACTTCTGGATTCTGGTAAGAATAGAGTAGCTTCTATTAGACTAATCATCATGATAAATTGAAGGTACTAAAGAGCATCCTCAAGCAGGCAGAAACTAGAGGGAATTCAACCATTGAAAGAAGGAAACTACACTGGGTAAGAGTCATAGTTATAGATATTTTCTGTGGTGTGTGGTAGAGCTCAAGCAGAAAGCTACAGGCTTATTAACCTGAGGATTCAGAGCACAGAGTTCAGAGTTGCCAAAGTCTCATATATAAAATCCAAAATCTCCAGGTTCATATAAAAATTCACTCATCATACCAAGAATCAGGAAAATCTCAACTTGAATAAGAAAAGATAATCAACAGATGTTAACACCAAAATGACACATATGTTAGAATTACCTCACAAGGATTTTAAGGCAGCCATCATAAAAAATGTTTCAAAAAGCAATTACAAGCATGGTAGAAACAAAATGAAAAAATAGAAAGTATCAACAAAGAAATAGAACACACAAAGAATGGAAATTTTAGAACTGAAAAATACAATAACCAAAATAAAAAAATTACTGGAAGGGCTTAATAGAAGAATAGAGATGACAGAGAAAAGAATCAGTGAATTTGAAAGTAGAACAATAGAAATTATCAAATCTGAATAACAGAGAGAAAATAGACTGAAAAATAATGAACAGAGATTTAGGGTCCTGTGGGACACGAACCAAAGATAAAACATTTGTGTCATCAGAATCCCAGAAAGAGAAGATAAAGAAGGTGGCATTTAAAAAATATTCAAAGAAATAATGGCTGAAACTTCCCCAAATTTGGTGAAAGACTACTCCTACAGATTCAAGAAGCTTAATGAATCCTAAACAGGATAAACCGAAAGAAATCCACTCCAAGTCACATCATACTCAAATATCTGAAAAATAAAGACAAAAAACAAACACAGAATGTGTGAAAGTAGGCAGAGAGAAATGATGCATCACTTTACATTCCCAGCGATATGAGAACAACGATTCAAATGACAGTGGATTTCTCATCAGAGATCACAGAGGCTAGAAGGAAAAGGCACATATTTAAGTGCTGAAAGAAAAGAACTGCCAACCCAGAATTCTATAGCTAGTGAAAATATCCTTCAGGAATAAAAGAGAAATCAAGACATTCTCAGATGAAGGAAAACAGAAAATTTGTCTTCATCAGACCTACCCTAAAACAATGGCCAAAGGAAGTTCTCCAAACAGAAAGGAAATGATAAAAGAAAAAATCTTAGAGTATCAGGAAGGAAGAAAGGACAACAGAAAGAGTAAAAACATGGGTAAATACAGCACACTTTCTTTCTCCTCTTGAATTTTAAAAATTATGTTTGATGGTTGAAACAAAAACTATAACACTGTGTGATGTAGTTCTCAATGTACGTAGAGGAAAAATTTAAGATATTATATTAGAGAGGAAAGTAATGGGACATAAAGGCAAGTAAGGTTTTTATAGTTCACTCAAAGTGACAAAATGTTGACACCAATAGACTATGATAAGTTACATATATATAATCTAACACCTAAAGCAACCACTGAAAAATCTATACAAAGTGATACACTCAAAAACACTATAGTTAAATAAAAACGGAATTCTTAAAAAAGATGTCCAAGTAATCCACAGGAAGGTAGGAGGAAAAAACAGTTAACAAACAGAAAAAAATAAAATAAAATGGCAGACTTAGGCCTTAACATATCAATAACAACATTAAAAGGAAATAGTCTAAACATACCAATTAAAAGACAGAGACTGGCAGAATACATAAAAAACCATGACCCAACTATGTTTTGTCTACACCAAATGTAATGATATAGAGAAAATAAAATAAAAATGATGGAGAGAGAAGTCAAGATGGTGGCATAGGCAGACTCGGAACTCACCTCCTCCTGCAGACACAGCCAATTTACAACTACTCGTGGAAAAATTACCCCTGAGACAGAACTGAAAACTGGATAAGAGGAACTTCTACAACAACGGACAATCCTAACTGACGTAGAAGAGGCAGAAACTCCCTGCTGGAGAGGAAAAATGCCGCCTTCAGAAGCCGCAGCACCTCATGGCCGCCCGGGAGCAGTCCACAGGTACGCAGCCCTCCCTGGAGGCGCAGGGCCCTGAGCCAGGGAGCGCACCCACTGTGGGCATTTTGTGGACCCAGCACAATTGAGACAAGTGGCATAATATCTGACTTTGCCTGCTACTAAAATATTGGGAAGTACCCCCAGAAAAGCTGGTTCACAAAGACATTAAAACCGGCTCTTGAAGGGCCCATGTGCAAACTCACCCGTTTCAGAAAGCAACCTAAAATCACCAGAAAGAAAGGTGCACAGTGCTTTGGTGAAAAGAGACTCACCTAATAGGCTCTGTGTGCATCTCGGTGAGAGGTGAGACCCCTCCAGGGACTGGGACATCGGCGGTGGCCATTGTTGTGGCCTGGTGTGGGCGTGCTGAAAAAGACGCCATTGGAGTTTTCCCTGGGGCCTGCCAGCCCAGGGTCTGCCCCACCTGCTAGAGCACAGATTTAATCCAGCTCAGCCAGGGAAGGCAGCCCACGCTAGAGACTGGCCCCACCCAACAAGAAGCCCTCAGGCAACATGTGGGCCTGCATAGATTGGTGACTGGATTCTCTGCAGCCTGGCAACTGAGCCGAATTCAGTGGGACAGCACGTGCACAAGGAGCGGGTGGAGAGTGTGGGGTGGCGGTGGAGTGTGTGGGGCTCCCGCCGTGCAGAGACTGGGTCTGCTTCGGGAGGCTGGGGCACGCACAGAGGGCAGGACTGTGTTGACTGTGTGTGTGAACCTATGGGCGGCAGGGCTTGTCAGCTGCAGAAGACATGTGCTTCTCAAAGACCCACACAGGGGGTTTGCCACACCTTCCAAAGCCTGAAACAATTGGGTGCTGCCGTGACTGAGGACAGCCCCACCCAGCTACAATTCTCAGAGAGCAAACAGGCCACAAGAGAAGGACACACGTAGCCCACATAGGGGTCACCCCTGGAACACTGAGAACTGACAGAAGCACACGGCAGGCCTCCTAAGCCATCATTTACATAAGGTCACCTATCCAAGAGCAGGAGACGTAGTTGACCTACCTAATATGTAGTCACAAGCACAGGCAAAGAGGCAAAATGAGGAGACAAAGGAATATATTCCAAGTAAGGGAACAGGACAAAACCTCAGAAAAGGAACTAAGTGAAACAGAAATGGGCAACCTACCTGACAGAGAGTTCAAACAAAGAGTGTTAAGGATGCTCACTGATGTGGGGAGAAGAACAGATGAACTCAGTGAGAATGTCAACAAAGAAATGGAAGATGTAAAAAAGAACCAACCAGAAATGAAGAATACAATACTAGAAATGAAAAATTCACTAGAGGGACTCAAAAGTAGAGTAGAGGATACAGAAGAACGGATCTGTGAGCTGGATGAAAGACTAGAAGAAATTACCCAAGCTGAACAGGTAAAAGAGAAAAGAATTAAAAAGAGTGAGGACAGTCTAAGGGACCTCTGGGACAACATCAAGCGCACTAACATCCGTGT